GCCATGCAAAAAATACTGACTTGTTTTGATTTTGTTTGATATAAAAAAAAATGAAACCCTATTTCTCGTTCCCTGTTCAATTGTGTGTGTTTTTGTTTCATCACTTACACAAGGGAGTCTGCTTCACCCCGACATGATTAATCTGCCAATAGTAGTGGTAAACTGGTTAACTGAAAGTAGGGAAAGAGAAGAAAATCCCAGATCTTTTTTCTCTTCGATCCTTTTGAGCATCCTCTCTGATTACTCTGAACCGAAATCGTGACTAATTATAGTCTTGATGATATTAGAGCAATATCTACTGCTAAAAACGTAAGACTCTGTTGTCATACGTCACTTTTTCAAACGGCGCATGTGAGGTGTGCTGACAAAATGAGTTACTTCTCACAATCCAAGAATTGAGATATCATCAGCAGAAAAATCAACACTATCGACAGATTTTCAATTGATGCCATTTTCTTCAAGTTTAACTTGTCTTTTATAATTTCATACATTTATGAATTGTACACACTCCACCCATAAATTTGATGTACCAATTTCCATAGGGCTAAAATCTCATTTTGACATTTTGTCAGCATGCCTCACATATAATAACGGAGTCTTACCCTAAGCGGTTGATCTCGCATTGATATAGTATTCGCTCAACCCCGGCAACTAAATGGGAGAAAATCTGGTAACCGGCAGGATTTCGGTTTGTTAAGCAGGCTCCTCTGGATTTTTGTGCCGAGTGTGATGAGTTGTGGCAGAAACCCCTGCTCACTCTTGAGCTGTGTGTGTGTATGTGTGTGTGTGTGTGTGTGTGCAGTTAAAACTTATGGTATAATTGAACGAAGCTGACTGATCAGTCTCAAGGAAAAATGTTCTGTCTTTAGGCCATTCCCAAAGGGGGGACATTTCTCGTTCAAGCATAGTAAAATTGTAAACGGGCTGATTCATCATGTCACGCTCATAATTGTGCCTGATCTACAACAATAGGGAACTGCTGCTTTTTCTTTCCTGATCCTTACTATTGTCATTTTTCCTCTGCTTCTTTTGTATGTTTGTCACTCTCTTGTGACCCGCTACTTCCGGGGTGCCTTGGTAGTCGAAGCAGACCTTGTGCTGTTGAAGCTAGTGAGGTGAGCAGAATAAGTCTGATTCCCTGTAAAGACTTCTCTGTTGACACCCACCTCTTGGCGCTCATATGACCTTATTCAGTTGCGAGCGCCGTAAAACCTCCACTGAAATAAAGTAAAAGAACAAGAGGATGACGTTTGCTTCCCCTCTTGTCACTGTCACTTTGAGGTACACAGAGGCCGGAAAAAGTAAAGTACAATGTAACGAAAGTGGAGACTTGGGTCACAGTCTTACCACATGTGTGTCGTCCAGATACCTCTGCATTGTAGTAGAGATCTAGGGGGAGATATTCCTACACACAGGAAATGATCCTGATCAGCGGTTCTCATTACTTCGTGAAGTCTTGGATGACCCTGCAAAGTTGTCAAAATTGCATGCAAGAGTCCTGAGTTTGATTCGAGAGTCGGGAGAATTTTGATTGACTATGTTATATATAATATATACATATATATATATATATATATATATATATATATATATATATATATATATATATAATATATATATATAATATACAGTATCTTTGTCTTTGTACCAGGATGTGTCCCTATCACTATCAGCCTGTGTTGGCCCTGACCAGGCGGGGTTGAAGCCTGCCTCGTAAATGATCGAAATTGTGGTGATGGTGGTGTAAAAAAAAGGGAAAATGGGAATGGGTGGGGTCGAGTGACATAGCCCCAGTTGTTACTCTGCGTGCCTGTTTGTGACAGATGCTCAGCCAAATTGAACTCCAACCAGATGTGAAATAATTATTAGAGATAATCAGATAAAAACTACTCTACTGTACTAATAGTACTAATCATTCCTTTAAATGTATAATACGTTGTTGTTATCGATCCAGAATTTCATTATACATTATAATACATGTACAGGTATTTAAATTTTGATAAGTTGGTGGTTGGCAGGTGCTCTGGTGTGGTTTGCTTCTTCTTTCCTGTCAAACATCTATCATCCTTATATCTGCCCTCCTTTTTTGTGTTTGTTACTCTATAGTAACACCTCTAATCTTCTGGCGCTCATATAACCTTATGCAGTTGTGAGCGACGTAAAACCTCTACTAAAAAATAAAAAAATAAATAAATTGATGCTGTTTGTAGTAGTAGTAGTAGTAGTAGTAGTAGTACATGTAGTAGTAGTAGGTCTGCCAACTTTCCCAAACTTCCCGAGACTGTCTCGGATTAGGCAATGGGGAATTTTGAAAAGGGACATTTACATTCACATAGATGTATGTACACTACAGCACAACCAGTCCCTCTTGATGTACAGTAACTGTGTTCGTTGTTCAGGTAAGCCCCCTACTAATCCTAATCATCTGAATTATGTTGAAACATTGGGTGTCCTTGGTTGTGGTTTGAAGAAGTTGGCAAGTCTGTTTGTAGTTGTTGGCTTTTTTTTGGTTTTTTTTTGGTAGTTGTGTGTTTGTCATTTTCTGCGAGTGTGTATCCAACTCCAACTGTTTGGATGGGATCGAACTCAAAACTTTGGAGCTTTTTGTGTTCTGTAGCCCCCTGTTTGTGGTTGGTTGGGGGGGGGGGGGGGGGTACGGTGCTACTGGTAGGCTGATTCACTGCTTTGCAACTGGCCTTCAGTCACCTCTGACCTCTGACTGTGTGTAATGTTTTCTTTCTTTTCTTTGCACTTCTTAATACTTAATTAATAACCGATGAGCGGTTGGCGGGTGCTCTGGTGTGGTTTGCTCCTTTTTGCTTCTTTGTTTCCTATTTCTACTAGTATCAAACATCTCTGTCGTCCTCATCTCTCCTCTTTTTTTGTACTACATGTATCTCCAACACCTTTTTTTATGTCTTTGCAGTTCTCTTTATATATATATAATTTATCTGACAAAATTTCTTATGTCCGAGTTTGAGTGAATCTGAACAAAGGCATAGGACTACATGGTGCATGATGAATTGTGAATACTTTTTTGTGTACGGTCGGTCGGTAGCCTACTTCTTCAATTTCTCTATAAAGTGCTTGAGTTTGAGTTAGAGCAAATGCCGAAAGGAATACATAACTTGTGAAATTTTTTTGTCTGTTGGTTGGAATACTTATCTCTGTATATGCCTTTGTGATGGTTTGAGTTTGATATTCTTTACTTTAAGTGGATCCTAACAAAGGAATTCACAGGCCATGTGGACTTGGTGGTTCGGCTCAGCAGTTCTCTAATTGAGTAATTCTTATGCTAAGAAGTTGATGAAGAGACAACTGTGCAGATGGGTGTGTGTTCAGCCGTATCTCTAGAGCTACCCCGACCCCCTCATTCTTCAGTAGCCTACTGCTGCAACATTATTTGCTGGGTTTTGTGTGTGCATGTATATAATATTCTGTACTTGGGGTTGGATTGCCTGAGAGAGTGATTTGGGAGGGGTTTGTCTCATGTGAGTGCAATTGGAGGGTATGTCTTTGTTTGGAAGGATGGAGCAAGATTGATCATTAAATTATTTGTACAATCTGTCCCCGTCATTTTATGCCAGAAAAATTCTGAAATTATGCGAACTGAGCCCAAAAATGTGAAATTATGCGATTCTGTTAATTTTAACAAAGAATGATAAAGGAAAATAAACAGAAATTATGCAAAAAAAATTATCAAATTTTGCTATTAAATATTATGCGGGGTGCATAAAACCACGGGGACACTACAATGCAATTGATTAATTAATACATGTACCTCTCTATGGGTGTGTCAATGTCTTTGTCAGTATGATGAACGGACTCTTCTAGTTTGAAATGTACATAATAATAATAATATAGATTTAGTACATACATGTACGTTATATGTGCATGTAGGTTACATGTACCTTATCAATGTTGTTATTGGTCGTCTAGAACGGTACGAGTCATGAGTATGTGACTGCAGCAAGAGCGTACTTTGTTGTAGTATTGATGAGGCTCGACAAAATCCATCAACTGTTGCTCTTACTTTTTTTTAATGTTGATATTTTATTTTATTTCAAATTTTTTTTTTTTTTTTGGACTTACACGAGTTTTACAACTTGGAAATAAAAACTCCCATCTTTGTTGAAGAATTTCTCCGCTGTCTCTTCCTTGTTGGTCATTGTTTGTTATACACGTACTTAGTAGAGTTTTACAGCACTTGCAACACAATAAGGTCTTAAAGTGCCAAAGATTAGAGGTGTTACAATTACAAGAGAGTTTAGAGAGTATTAATAAAGATAAAAAAGGAGAGGAGATAAGATGTTTGATAGGAAAGAAGGAGCAGACCACACTACAGCACCCAACGAGCACCCACTGTAAGTTTTTAGGCATTTGTAACACAATAAATATGTTATACTAGCTGGGCCCCCTTTCGATGAAAGGAATGATCGCTGCTTTAATATCAATTAAAATTCATTGGCCTACTATATTTACACTCTGCTGGAAAGGGGCAATAAATCTTGAGAGCTGTATAAGGTCTAGATCTATACTCTCAAAACAAAATGCGCCTAGCGAAATATCACTTCCGGATTTTCTAAAATTACAGAGACAGAAGCGTCGGCCTACAAAAGTGATCGTCGAAATAAAGAATTTAGCTTTTTGCAGCAAAACTGTATCAATACTGAAAAAACCAAGGGCGTCATGCTCTGGAGAATATTTTAAAGACTCTTTTGGCGAAAACCGCATGTCGATCGATGCAGCCATTAACAAGTCTTTTGAATAGCAAAATTCGGCCACCACAAATAGATAATAGATAAATGCCGAAGATTAGAAGTGGTACTAGAGAGTAACATACAAAGAAATGGAGAAGAAATAAGATGTTGGATGGGAAAGAAGGAGAAAACCACACCAGAACACCCACCAATCACTCACTACACTATGATGACTGTAGTCTGTAGGAATATGTTGGCAGACAAAAAGTGTCATGAAAAAAGAAAAAGAAACATTTATTGTTCAATTATGAAGTTTGTTTATTTCCAATAATAGTTGCAAACATGTCGCTGCTGCCTCTGACTGCAGATACTGACAACACATTTTGATTTAATGAGATGACAAACATAACAATGCACTGGCTATTTTTATACACAGAAGTGGCTAAACTTCACTAATCAAGAAACAACTCAAGTTTCATAATTTGATCCAGAATCAAATTTCAACAGCTGCCCTTAAGATGACAAAAGATTCCAGTAGATCTGGTGAAACAGTCATCGTATCAAGTGACGAAGAACTTCTTATGCCACTAACCACATTGACATCAAGATGAGTTTGTTGGTTTGAGTACAGTCAAACCTGCTCTGATGAATACCTGTCCAAGACAATCACTTCCCACTTGTTTCTTTGAAGTAAAAAAAAAAGGCCGGTGCTACTTGCCCGATGTCGGGCCAGTAGCGTCGCCCGACGTCGGGCGAGTAGCCACTCCGTTTAAAAAAATGTATCTAGCACACACATGAAATCGATGGGATGCAGAAATCTTTTCGTTATGTACAAGTGTCTCTATGTTTATGTTTTAAATACAAAAAAGACACAAATAAAAGGAAAAAAAAATGGGATCTGAAAATCTGCTTGCTATGGCACTCCCGACTCAATCTGGTCCCCATCAAGATATGATATGACTATAGATAATAGATTGTAATAACCCTGTCATCTCGGACAGGTTCGACTGTACGTTTTATGGCACTACCGACTCAACCTGGTCCCCATCAAGGTGTGATATGACTGTCGCAATAACTCGGTCATCTAGGTCCGGTTCAACTGTTCGCTTTACTGCACTACCAACTACCAGCTCAATCCGGTCCCCATCAAGACATGATATGACTGTCATAATAACCCTGTACTGAGGCCAGCTGCTTCTTCCTCAGCCACACATGAGGGCGTCTGCCCTTGACAAAGGCCAGCGACTCCTCCGGGCTCCAGTTGTGTAGCTGCAGGAAGGAGAACAGAAAATTATATCCATGAGAAGACAAAGATGAAATTCATTATGACAAAAATAGAAAAAGCCCCCCCCCCTGAATTATTTGAGCATAACCAGCCCTGAAGTGCAACAGTTGATGAACATATTACATACGTGAAAGTAGAATAAAAGAAGAGATCTGTATTGTAGTGCAAGTAGAAGTTTTAGAAGCATTAATGTGCAAGTGAAATAGGGGGTGCCCATTGGCTCGATCCGTTCGCTTCGGTAAGTGGGACTAGCCAGATTGAGGACGCAAAGTGACCAATGTGGCACAAACCGATCGCCAGACTCGCAGCCTCAAAAACAAACGCGTTTGTTTTCAGACCGCAAATCGGGCGAACAGTTGGTCCGTCCGCCAATAGGCACTCGATATAATTAGAAGTGTTAGTGTTAGCGGAATTCAAAGTTTTCACGTGAAGGGGGCGTCACGGTAAGAACTGAGATCTCTGTGCGTACGCAGAAGGCGTGTGTGTGTGTGTGAGCATTACAGTGTGAGTTTAGTTTTAGTAAAGAGTTTTACGGCACTTGCAACACAGTAACGTCATTTAAGTGCAGAAGATTAGAGGTGTTACAAGAGAGTAACAAACACAAAATAGAAGGAGGGGAGATAAAGAAGATAGATTTTTTATAGGAAAGAAGGAGCAAACCACACCAGAGCATCCGCCAACCACCCACTTACAGTGTGAGTGAGGAGGTGTGTGAGAGTGAAAATGAGGGAGTTGATAAGTGTGTGTGGGTTGGGGGGGTAACAGCCGTCCATTGGCAACCTCAGAATTACAAAGTTCTAATCAGTCTGAGATTTTTGGCCATTTTGAGTTATTCGGATCATGAGGTTAGAAACCAAACGTTCTGTTTGTTCAACAAAAATTGAAAAGATAATTCAGGGTCGTTATCAAGATATCCACAGAATTACATTGTTCTATCTGAATATCGGAAGATATTTTCAGAATAATAATTACAAAGTTCTATCAGCAAGAGAATAATTGTGCTACGACGATGATACGTTTGAATCAGACGCTCGTCAGTGTTGGGTCATGTAAAGTTACTGCTATCATCTTAAAGTTTGTTTATTTATCTTGCTTTTGGTGAAAAAAACAACAAAAAAACCCCACAATTTGGAGGGTACCTGCATGAGGTAACACACGGCTAACCATAATCTTGACACGGCTAACCACAATTTTGACACGGCTAACCACAATTTTGACACGGCTAACCACAATTTGGACGGTACCAGCATGAGATAACACACGGCTAACCACAATTTGGACACGGCTAACCACAATTTGGACGGTACCTGCATGAGGTAGCACACAGCTATGGTCACGCTGCGGGTGCGCCCGGCCTTGCAGTGGACATAGACCGAGTGACCTCGTTGTCGGTGAGACATGATGAAGTCCACCGCCGTGGAGATATTCTCCTGGCTTGGCGTGCCGGTCAAGTCCGTCACCTGCAGACGCAGCTGCTCCACGCCAAGGTCAGACAACTCCTGCAGGGCGAAAACACATCATGTATGTTATAAACACAATTGTTTCCCCTTTAGTTTTAGTACGTTTTACTTTTATGGCATTTTCAATACAAATACAGGTCATAATATAAGTGTTGAAGATCAGAGGTGTTACTAAAGAGTATCATACGAAGAAAAAACGGAGAAGTGATACTGATAATGATGATAGTCGTTTGATAGGAAAGAAGGAGCAAATCACTCCAGAACACCAGTCAACCCCCCTCATAGTTTCTCTTTGCCTTTATATTATTCCCTGGAGATGCACAGTAGAGTCTGAAATGAAGTCCTGGAACCATTCGTGGGGAACGCTGACCAAGATGGCCCAAAACAGACAGAGCTGGAGATCCTTTGTTGCTGCCCCAAACGCCAGATGGCGTAATGGGTAGTAAGGAAGGAGGAAATACACATATCTCCAGACGTTTAGCTCAGTTCAATTTCTTTATTAACTCAAATACTGCAAAGTTTGCTACTCCTATACTGTAAGAAAAAAAAATCCCTGAACTTTTTTCTTCAATTTGAGCAACCTCTCTAAACCCCAAAACCCAGCTAAGCCAATTAAAATTGCGTGGTCCAGCACATTTTCGTATTAGCAGACTCCACTGTATGAAAAAGAACAACAAACGACATCTGAAATATCAGATAAAGTATAAAATGTATACATTAATGTGTACATATTTTAGTTTTATGTCTGTGTACATTATATATATAGCACTACAACTTTATCTATGTGCTGTTTTAATGAATTATCACTGCTGGATAAAAAAAAAAATCAAGACAAGAGATGCCCTGTCACAACCCTTTCAAGTGCAGAACTTTATCTCAAGGCCGTGCGTCGCCAATCCCAGATCTGTACGGAGCACGTACCTCTTTGTTGTAGGTGAAGTACTTCAGCTCATAGTCCTCATTCATTGTCACCATTGCCTTGACATTCTCCTCATCAATAAGCTGATAGTAAAAAAAACCAAAAAAACAACAACAAAAAAACATATGTGAGGCATCGTGGTGAAATCAGGCGCTCGTCGGAATTATAATGAAATCGAAAATATCGGCTTTTTTCCTCGTTGGACAACTTTTTCTTATTTTTGTTTTTTGGCTCAACACCTTTCATGCAGCCTACATTTAAAAACATTATATTTCTGTGTGCATTTGACTGAAAAACATTGATTAAAGGCACAACAAATGTAATTTTTCAATTTCCAAAGACTCTCAAGCTTTGGATCAAATGTTGGCGTCCATTTTCTCGCTAATTTCACCTCTGAAACCAGGCGACCCCGACCTCATTCGCAAATTTTTCTCCCAGAATGAACGTTATTTATTCCCGGAAACCATCCATTGCCCTGCACCGAGAACTACTGTTCACAGAATAAAAGTCTTTAAAAAAAGATCTTTGTTTCCGTAATTAGCGTTTTACAGCACTTGCAACACTAAAAGATCATGCTTCTGGAGTATAGTCAAATCAATAAGTCTAGTGCAAATATTAAAAAAGAAGTATCTTACATTATCACAGTCAAAGATCTGTTCAGTGCACACTGCGTCTTTATCAAATCAAATGCTGGGAGAACAGAAAGTTAAACGGTTCAACAGAAAGAAAGCAGATTACAGTATAACACGAAATATGTTGAACACAGAAGACTCGAAATCACGAATCCGTCAAACTGCCTGCGGTCCCATTAAAAATTTTTCTTCTTCGCTTCTGTATCTAAGAAAATATAATATTCCCTCAAACTAACGAGGCTGGTCAAGACGAATTCGAGCTATATATATACCCATGATGGATGTTATACCGTACATCACAGAGTCAGGCTGAGCTCACCTGTTTGGTCACCGACTTGAACGGCAGAGCACCCACCAGGACAGTGTCATCAATCCGGTTATACCACTGCCTTGACGTGACGTAGGTCATCAAGATGTTTGTGCCCAGCGTGGGGTAGAAGAATATCCGGGCCAACATTATCTTCTCTCCACTTCCCTTTGTTTTGTTTGTTGAGTAAAGAGAAGCACATTGACACAATGGTCATTTAGTGCTGGGAAAATGTAAAACAGACAGACAGAAACAACTGAGGGGAAAGTAAAGAAATAGGACCTACCAGAGGCGCCCTCCAACCACCTACTCTCAGTTCCCTGATCAACAAGGCCTAACAGGAGAGCTTTACAAACCCTCAAGACATCGCAGAAGATGGGATTGTGGAGAGATCACAGCATGACCCTCTCAAAAAGTTGATTACTTCCCCTTTGACTTTTGTGCACTGTAAAAAAAGTGAAATAATTCTTGACCTTGAGTGAGAGCCTTTTTCTTCACACACAACCTGTTGAGAGCAAAAATGTGAACTTGAGAAGCTGTAAAAAAGAGTTCTGAGTTAATCAACAATTTGAAATTCTCATCATTTGTCAAGGGTGTTCGATCAGCACCTGTCTTCTTTTCTGCTCAGATAGGACGTTTTATTCTCCGCATTCTAGAGAAACCATGTAAAAAGTCAATGCAAATGGTTAAAACCCTCAATGACGTTGTGTCTGTCTGTAGCATGTAACATTCTCATTAAGTGAAAAGTCGACGTGTAGATGCCATACACATGATGTAATGTTTGTAGAAGACAAGAAAAGCCAAAGTATTAAAAAATATTATGGTGACATTACATTGATAGGAAGGACTTCTGTAACGAGCGACCACCCCATCAAACACAATAAAGAAGAGGCCTAGACCTACCCCTACCCCTACCCCAAGCCCTCAATTCTGCTCTGTCTCATAGTGGTCGCTCGTTACGGAAGTCCTCCCCATTGATATTCGATATTTACACATGCCTTTAAATTAAAATAACATTAAATGAATCCTTTTATAAGTTTGGTTAATAACAGATAAGCCCCTGGCAGGGGGTAGATCTATAATTTTCAGATTTCTCAATCTATGCAACGCAAAGCCGCCCGCAAAGACATGTAGTAGAAAAACATCATTTATACATGCTTAGACTTTAGAGGGATTCTTTTGCTCCTAGTGACCAGCTGTGTACTCTACACTACTAGATCTAGAGTCTAGATCTATATATCTATATCTATATCTATATCTAGATCTAGATCTAGATCTAGTAGCAGAACGAATCTACACCATAGCATAAGTGCCCTAACTTGCCCTCAGGACTAAGCCAAGCAAGCCTTAGTCTAAGGCCTTAGCCTAAGGCTGGATGATCTAGATCTAGAAGATAATTCGTTCCTTATTCTTGAAGAAAGTTGTTAACAAAATTGCTCTTTCATTTAAATGGCAGCTGCAGAAAATGTCTAAGTACAACAGATGAATGTCGCCTCACAAACCAAGTTTACTTGCGACCATGGTCGGACAAAGTTGACATCATGCTTTGAGTTTTGTTTTCCTAGTAACTTCCCTTTGCGACTTTCTCATGAGGGGGAATTCCCGACTTATGTTAAATATGTCTACGGCCTCGTTTTCAACATTTTGTAAACACAACAAGCGACGTCATGAAACACAGGTAGGGTTGGAAGGGAAACCCCAGTACACAGTTTCGTGTTCTTGAGTGACGGGCGAGAAGGCGGAAAGAAGGCTCAGGGGAAGAACCAAAGGCTGTGGAAGTGAGTCGTTTATGGAAACAGCGTGCACCCTTCTTCTCAAGTTACCCCGCCCCTTTTCCGATTGGCTACCCCATGGCAGATATAACCGTGCGGCTTATTTGGTACAAACTCGGGGAAGTCAGCGAAAAGATGGCGGAAGCTGGGAGAACTTGGTACACGGAGCTTGATTTCGATAGTTACGTGTTGGATTTGTTGTTACTGGGCTGGTGTACACTATGTTTAGTGGTCATCGCCTCGGTCAATGCCCTGGTTGCAGCCTTTGGGCCCTTGCAGAGGCAGCCCCGTGACCGTTACCGTGAATACAAGGAAGGAGAGAGTCTGACGGGTGCTGTCTTGCCGGTGGAAACTGCCCTCTGGTTTAACAGCGCTGTCAACTGGTTCTACCTTCACTACTACCATGCTCCAGAATTCGTGGACGACTGGCTTAAATCTCTCAATGAACAGCTGGGCAAGTTGGGGGTAAGTGGAATTTCTATTTTACATTTGGTTCATGTGCACAGCAGTCAAAAATATGTGCAGTACGGGAAGAAAATAAAGGACCTCTTGACCTGTATCGTTGCCATGGCAACACATGTTGAAATTGAACTGTCTGCTGACATAAATCACCAGCCATACTCCAGGGGTTAAGGTTAATTCAGGGCTGTTGTTACAGCCGAGATATTTGACCATATCTTTAAAATTAGTTAAGGAGATGAGATAGAGGTTACAAATTTTGTCTTTAACCTCCAATAAAATTATAAGCTCATCATGACATGTCTCTCATGTGCTTGACCTTTTCGCTACTTGGATCACTGCGTCCTCTGTTGATACTAGATTAGATCTAGATCTAGATCTAGATCTAGATCTAAATCTAGATCAAGGTTCTAGTAGATCTAGGCCTAGTCTAGTGTGCTGTCCAAAATTGGTTCCTTTTTTTGTTTTTTATTTTTCAACTGGTCTACAGGGGCGAAGGATCAGGAGATGTAATTACTTCTTGTGCAGTTGAATGATTTCTATTATAAGGGAAATTATATTATCACTTTGTTCGAATCTCTCTTGAATAAACATCCTATCTTGTCTGCTCAAGAATACAAACAGTTTAGGTCTTAGCACAATGAAAGGGTTAATTCTAAGTCCTCATCATCATCATCATTGCCTTTTTCATCCTGGATCAGGATATAGGCCACGACACTTTCCACCTTTCCCTATCCTGGGCGAGTAGCTTGATGTCACTCCATGTCTTCCCACTTTTCTGTACATCCCTTTCCGTGAAATTTTAAGTCTTCGGGGAGAGGGGGCTCGCATGGCCTAGAGGTAAAGGTGCTGTTGCTAACCGTTCAGTCCCTAGATTCGTGCATCTTTTCTTGTTGTCAGTGGCCGGCAATTTTTAATCGAATATATGTCAAAGCATATTATGTATATTAGGCCTATATAATATTTTATATGAATGAAACTTTAACTTCAAAGAATATTACGGGTAGTAAAAATAGTTTTAGGTTGGCATATAATTACTAAAAGGTGCGAATTGCACCTCATAGTGAGATTTAATTTGTTATTTTTGTAACACAGCACTTCTAAATGAATTTGCTGTGTATTAAAAATAGTCCTACATTACTACTGTAGATATTTATAGTGCTATGATAAATATATTTTATGTTGCCATATTATAGGATACACGTAAGATAGACCATTTACTCACCGCAGGTTAATGTATTGATATTTTTACCACATTCATCATTATTTTATGGTGATGAAGGGAGCAACAGTACATCCAGATATGCCCGGGTTTATTATATTTTTCATAATGTGGCATTGATGACTATACTGTCAACTCATTTTTATTTGCGCTGTGAGGTCAATGCATTTAATTACTTAAATAAAAGATAGGTTTCACTTTGAGAAATTGATTTCACTTTCTTTTTTTACTTCGGATATGTAAATTATATCAGTGAGCAGTAGGCCTGTAGGGTAGCGGAAATCAATTGATGTAATATGTCATGAGCAATGGAGTATGTTTTGATCTTCCAAATTATTAATTTATCAGTCAGTACCACTACTCACAACCTTAGATTCTTAGGGGGCTCTTGTGGTTGAGAGGTTACGGTGTTCGCCTCTCGTTCAATAGGTCACGGGTTCAAATCCGAACATGGACGTAAAATGTTCTTCTCTAAAATGTTCTCCTTTCACCTCCTTTCCTGCTCTCTAACAATGTCAATGTTCTGTTGTCTGCTTTCATCTCCACTTTCTGCCCCCTCCCCCAGCCCATCCTTGCCCTCCTCTGGGCTCCAGACTCTTTCTACAGCCTTCCTATTGCTTCTCCTTGGCTCCTTTTTTCTACTGTCTTTCAGTCGCACCCCAGATCTTAGGATAAGAACAAAGAAATTTCGGAGGTCCTGTGTGCAAGTTGCGCTCATTAAAGATCCCTTGGTGGTCCTAAAATTGATAAGAGTAGGCTTCGGCCGCCACCCGGGCAAAATTCAGAATTAATCTATATCCCTCTTAAACGAAAGCTTGATCATCAATACTTAATAAACCCAAATCCTGCTATGATTAAGTTCGTTACTGTTGTGTGGTTGAAAATGGTTTAGTGTCTAGTCAGACTTTTTTCCAAGTATTTACCTCTGTTGTATGCTATAGGCCTCAGATAATAATGAGTGGCCTGCACCATAGTTAGACGTAAGATCACACTGCAACTGGGTGGAGGATTACCTAATTAGATACAAAATGGGCTATTATGTTGCATTTATTTGATAAGCATGAAACGACACCCGTAAGATATGACTGTAATAAAAATATGAGATATGGCTGCCATAACATGTGGTTAGTGTTAAACATGAGTCTGGGTTTTTATCGTGAATTCTTTATAATTATATTGCTGTGCTAAATGTGTTAATAATTTTCTTCGTGCAGTGAAATCTTATAATAATAATTAATGTAGGCCGACCATAGTCCTAAATTAGGCTACTCATTTTCTCTCTGTTGACTTTATGGTCACAAGCTGTTTACATTGCTGCTGTGGATTTATTTTATCTTTATTCAATGTATGT